GATTTCAGACTCAATTTAAGTACGATGGGTTTGAAATGTAATAATTAAAATCATGTGACTACAAAACTCAAGTTTAACTGAGTTTAATTGGTTAGGGTGTCAAACAGGGGCCGAGTCGAGTTTGGGTGAACAGGATAACATCCCTAGTTTTATTAGTTACCAACAAATTATGGATATATGGCTCCTTATTGGTTTCATATTCTTTAATGTTGAAATGGATTTCATCGACTTTGGCTGTTATTAACAAAGATATTAATGATTAAAATTTTGAATAAAGATATAACAATTTTATATGAATGTATCAACTTTTACCTTCTAAAATTTGATGACCCATGATATTCAACACTTTTATTTTCAGTTTATCCTCTAATAGTTCAAATAATGAATGAACTTCTTCGTATCCAATTATTTTCCATTTAGTTGCATCATTAAGAGACTGTGTCCAAGAATTTTTATCATCTTGTGAATAGTCTGCTCCACCAATAATTGTTTCGAAATTTTTTGTATTGTTATGATAACTGGTATACATATCCTTATTACCATAAGTGGCATTAGCTTTAGCCTTAAAAATGTCTTTAGCTATTCCAACACCAGTTTGTGCATTAGTGGTTTTGGTCTTAGAATCTTCGACTACGATAATTAAATATGTAATTAATTGAAGAAATCAACAGTCGAATTAGCACTTTACCCATATCAATCCGATTTTTTCATAGTACAAATCCGGATTTATTATATTCGGCTTTAAACCACTAGTTCACATTATATCACGGGGCATAATAGATCCGGATTCTAATTCTAATAGACGCACCTGAATTTTTAGTATATTCTTCATGCCTTATTATAGTCCCACCTAAAATAAGACGTCGTGCATAAAAGTGGCCATATTTTCCCGATATTTCACAAAGTTTACTTATTTTATCATTTTCGTTATCATGGGTTTTATCATTCACAACATTTTTAATATCCTCAGTAAAATTTTTTACTGCTTTAACTTTATCTGAAATAGATATTACTCCTCTTATTATCCGTTCATATGAATGTTTGGTATACTTCATGTGTTGTTTAAGTGTTTGGCTTGAATTTTCATGCGATAATCCAATAGATGCAGAAATCCATTCTGAATAATCGGCTGAAAGCTTTACATCAAATATAAGGGATCGTTTACATTCTGTGGCTGTTTCATGTTTGCATTCATGTATACCTTCATATTGAAACTTTTTTTTTTCTATCTTAATTTCATTGTGATTAATTTCGAATGCTTGAGCGGATGCGCTTGTTACAGAACCATCTTTGTTAAACATGAATCCCTTTTCAAACCTTAATTGAGTCAAGTCGAATTCATTTTTTTGAATAATATGTAAAATAAATTTATTATCTTTTCTTTCAACGACTTCTAAAAGACCGAATTGAGATTCCTCACTCTTTTTAATCTCTGCTTTGTCATTTGAAAAATGCAAAAAACGACAATTTGATCCCACATGGAGATCATCATCACTATCACATTCGTTTTTTAAAAGCATTTTGCGAGCAACATTAAGCTTAATTTCATCTTCAACCTCATTTTTTTCGAGGTAGCCTCCTCAAATATTTCTTTAAATCTGAGTTAATGACTATAATATCAATCATACCATTGTCGTTATCTACGTTTTTGCCATTTTCATTTTGACTGTTTTTATTTTTATTTTTATTTTTGTTTTTAATTTTAGGTTTCATTTTGATTTTTTTTCTTTTTTTTTTGTTACCAATAACTACTTATGCGTCGTATTTTCATTGTGTTGCGTCGTATCGTTCATATGTTCAATGTAACACTGCTTTGCATCACGTAATTGATAAATTACGAAAATTTAAATATATGGCATCTTTGAAATTCGAAAGGCATCGAAATTGTAGAAGGCATGATTAACGCAAATTCTTCAAATTTTAATCGTGGATTAATTATCAACTCACAAGGAGTACAACTTTCAAATTTTATATCTTATGACTTTAAACCGCAACATAAAAATAATTTCATAAAAAGAACATCCATCCATGCAAAACTAGTGAATTCTATAACAAAAAAAGATTCTTTTTTGTTGAAAAATCTTATTGAGCTTTCTGCCGATGATTTAAAGCACGCTAGCCAGATATTTGATACCAATGAGGCCATAAATTTTGCAATGGCTTCTCTAGCTGATGAGTCTTCTACAAATGATGTTTTTCTAATGATACAATCACAAAAGTCGAAATGGTAATTAAAAAAGAAACAATACAACCGTCTGAAGAATTATCTAATAAAGTAAAAGAAGCTCTAAAACACCATGACCCTTACCATAAATTAATGGATTTATTTAATAATTATGGCTATTTTTTACCAGAAAGGATGATTCTTGGGCATAAAATATATAGAATGACTTATTTGACTGTAGATAAAGATTTAACAGAATCTGATGATAAAAATAATGATGCAAAATGGATAGTTCTTGACGATTTTTCAGATAGTAAACTCGAAAATATCTTGAATCAATGGGAAAAGTGTATGAATTCTTTTAATTTTGATTTATCTTACCTTGTATCAATTAATGGCGAATTGATTATGAAAAATAAAATCAAAGAGTGGGCTAAAAATTGTTTAAAGAGCGATTTTGACTCTTTACAAGTTATTAGCTGCAAAGAATTATATCCGTTGTATGAAATTTTTGACTTATCTCTTCTTCAAGAAGTCGAATCTATTCTTGGAATTTGTAGGCCAATTGAATCCACTCTTAATAACCAATCTGTGTTTATTAATAAAAATACTATAAAAGAAAGAGTTCTCATGGCAGGAATAGTACCAATTAAAGACCCTCCCTATTCATACAGTGTAAATTTTCCTGTTCGTTTTAAATCCAATAATTATCAGGTTTTTGGAAAATTTATTACACAAGATGATGAGCCAATAGATGAGGTGATAATCAAATTCAAATTTATGGACACATATGGATTCTTAATTTTTATGGAAAATTAGTAAGTTTTTATTATATTAACAATTAATTAATTTCAGCTTAAACATGGTCTAATTTCTTATTTTTAGTGAGCTCACATATAGAAATCCAAAAATTGCATGGGTATTAATTGGAATACCTGCAGAAGTTGGTTATTACAGCCAAAATACACGAAAAATAAAAGTATTGGATTCTGGTAATGAACCATTTGCATTAAAGTCAAATAATAATATTGTATTGAAAGTTCCGGAAAATTTGCCGCGAGATTCAGTTTTAGTCGTCTCATTTAAACATCCACATTCGAATTATGAACCAAAATTTATAACTAAAATACAAGGTTATCAGTATAATAAAATATTACTTAATATACACTGTGATGATTTTGAATATTTTGACAGTGAAGAGAATAGTGAAGATTATGAATCTTTTGACGATGAAGAAAATAATGAAAATTCGAAATCTTTTGACGATGAAGAAAATAGTGAAGATTCGAAATCTTCTGACGATAAAGAAGTGAATGAAGATTCAAAATCTTTTGACGATGAACAATTAAATGAAG